TCAGCACACAGAAGCCGTGGTCCAGTGTGGCGTGGAGGGACATCAAGTTTGGCATTCTAGGAGCATTTTACCTTTCACACATGTCCTTTATGAGTGTTTTATGTTGTAGTGGTTCCTTCCTTCTCTCGGTGCCCCAGAATATCCCTTTCTATTTCTGCACTGACATTTCTTCTTATTTCACACCTGTCACAGTGTTTAGTGGACTCCTATTGTCTGGAAATCTCTGTAAATTACATGCTTCTTACTGGAAAGACAGGCTAGCAACCTTATATGCTGTAGACATGACAATGAGTTGAGACTACATCATAACTTGCTTGAATCCATTGCCAAGATGAGCGCCTCATGATCACTTACAACTGTCCAAACTGAATAAATAATACATTGGCTGGTTTTGAAAGGTGGGAACTGCCATAATTATTGGGCTCATGCAGTATGTTCATATAATTGAACAGAAAGAATGCTCACAAAGAAAATGACTCGAGGTTCAGAAGAAGGGAAGAACAGATGCTCAGTCCCCCACTGAATGTCTGATGATGACTTTGACTTTGGGATCCATTCTGGATGTGCATGAACAATAGGAGAAGATAACTGGTAGAGACTCTGGGAAGGTCAGCCATGATCCAGTGCTGTTCCACTCCACTGCTGGAACGTGCCAGGTGCAAGAGATTCTGTGTCAGTTGGTAGAAAGCATTCTTTAACTTTGTCTTCTTTAACGTTATGCTTTCAAGGTGAGGGGACCAGCAGCAGAGGCTAAAAAGGATGACACAGATGACAGAACTCTGGAATGGATAAATGCCTCTAACCAGGAAATGTCTCCTGAGAAAGGCACTGTCCCTTGATGTGTCCCCATAGTTGTTTTGGGAAAATAAAAGTGTGCGCAGTGTCAGAACTGCGCCCAGTGATTCTCAGTGGACATTGAACTTGAGCTCTTGTCAGTAACACATGTTTGTTATGTCACTGTTGTCCTTTTTCCTAATTTCCTGAACTCTGAGCTACTCGCAGTTATTAATACCCAGAAGAGGAGAAGGCAGAAACCTTGTAAGAGCTGATGAAGTTTACCTTCCCTGCTTTGTGACTTTGATAACTGGTGTGGGTCCTTGGACAGGGAGGAGATGCATGGACATATGGAAGTAAAGTCCTGCAGGCTCCTGGGACGCTTTTCATATGACCCTACAGCAATGGTGTCAGCATGCACAAGACCCATGTGACCCCAAGCAGACAAAAACCCAACACAGAACTGTAAAAATGGACAGTGGGCCCCAGTCTTAGATGAAGAACTATTGGCAACTGATTACTGATGGGTGAGGACCAGCTGATCATCATAAAGGGAAGAACTCTAGAGAGGTTGACTAGATCTCAGGGAATAAACTTGAACTGAGGGACGTTTGTGGATACTAACTTGACTCCATCGGCTTTAACATCAATGACAGAATGTATGAAATCCAGTCGGGGACCCAATAGAGGGATGCTTTTGGAAACCCTTGTCAAGAAATTCCAAAGGACTCTCATATGAACATTTGAAAATTGCCCTATTCTGACTTTTCTAGTTCCCTGTCTAGAACTTGTAATGCTAATTACTCTTGCCTTTACTTCTCCTTCACATCTATTCAGGATTCAAAGACTTTCTTTTCCTCATCCAGATAAGAGTTATGCAATTTGGGAGTCTTTTAGGTAGACCCACTGAAGGGGTTTCCAATGGCTTCACCCTGCATCCCTGTTCAGCATGGAAGAAGCCAGAGTGGTTTGTGTCCCAATTCCCTATTGGCAATTTGGGTAACCTCTTCAGAGGATGGTGTGATAAGAATAGGAGGTAGGAATTCACCAGGCAGTTAGGGTAAAAAGACCCCAAAGAAAATTAGCCAGTTTCTTGGCTAAATCTCACAATGTCCTTGGGCCTCTTAGCAACATACTCCGTTCCAAAGCCCAAAAATGTCAAAAATATTTGGGCACTTTTATCTAACCCTTAAAAGATTTTAGGGTTACTTCTTCAGAGGGGGGAATGTTAGAGTAGCCAAAAGCCCTATAAAAATAAAGAAGAAGAAAGTACATGAAGTTATCAGAAAAAAGTGATGGGGAGATACGGGAGGAGTTGGAGGGGAGGGAGTAGGCGTGGATTTGATCTAAACACCTTATATGGATGTATGAAAGTCTCAATAAATTAGTTATTTAAAAAAAATACCAACATGAAGAAAATTCTTTGCTAACAAACTTCCAAATTAGTTCAGGGCATCTGTGTTCCCAAGATGCTCCCCTTCATAATAACGACTGCTTTACATCCTGGCTCTGTACTTCTTAGGTGAATGATTTGTTATAATTGTTCTAACCCTATTAGCCTGAATTGTTCCTTTGTAACGTGGGTAGAGAATTTGTCCGCCTTACAATGTCACTGCAAAGATTAAAAGCAGTAGTTTACGTAAAGCTCACCATTCCGTCCCCTTTGTTCCACTTCTGTTTCCAGGTGGCCAAAGTCAAAATGTCAATAAACAGAGCAAGGAAACATGTGGAGCACGTAGAACGGAGGGAAGATCTGGCATCCGTGAGCTGTATTGAAGCTCCATGAAGTAAAGGCCTTCTTTAAAAAATAATAATTAAGATATCCTGCATGAAATGCATATATATTCAACAAAAAAGAAAAAAAAGAGAAAAGAGTGAATTAATCAGTGGAATGTGAGATGAAGTGTTGTCAAACCCAGAATGACTAGAATGTATGGAATCTAAAATGATATCGAACATGGTCATTGGAGAAATACAGAGATCTTTCCATTTTTTAATTTTGTTTTTATTAAATTTGGTTCTATCTCATATAGAATATCTCAAACAATCTGAATCTTTTATTTATTTATTTATTTATTTATTTATTTATTTATTTTATGTGTATGAATGAATGAACTAGTTTTTGAGACAGGGTCTCACTGTCTAGCCCAGGCTGTACTTAGATTCATGATTGCCCTGCTTCACCTCCCAAATGCTGGGATCACAAACATGTACTGTCAAGCCTGGCTTCGTTTTCATTTTTTATGAAAATTTATAGAGCACATATATGCACATCTATTCTATTTGATTATCTGTGAGGTGACACATGAGTTAATAGAGATTACGGACCGTCTCATCTGGTAAGATGAGCTTATGCTCTCCCTCTCAAGATGCATTAAAGCTTTTCTGCAGAAGGATCCTGAGTGTGCCGCGTCGTTCTTGCTGGCGAGACGATAGCGCGGGACAGTTCGTAGCTGCCATGTGTGTGCTGGAAACTCAACCCGGGTCTTCTGCAAGAGCAGTCAGTGCTCTTAATGGCTAGGCCATCTCTCCAGCCCCCTGAATCATCTTTATAGCCCCATCCTCACCAGCCCCCTCACATAGTCCCCCACTGGAACCCATGTACTCTGCCCTGGGTGTTAAGGCCCACTGTGTCAAGTCAGTGTCCCCAGGTGTTCCCCAGTGCAAGTCCATCCACTTGAGGTCTAGCCAGATCCCTTTCATCTATCTATCCAAACACCTATCATTTTCTTTTTTTTAAACAGAGCATAGGGTGGGGCCTTATTTACAAAAGAGCAGGCACCCCACATTTACAGCTGCACTGGAAAGTCCACACTCAAGTACAGACCCTGTGACTTCCTCACAACCACAGAAAATGGTGAGAGGTGTCTCCTGGCGTCCTCAGCTTAAAGATCCTTAGTCCCACCCCCACACGCACCTAAGATCGACCCATTGGGTGGGAGGGGTAAATGACTCCCCACTCGACTGCTTGATGAGTGTGGGAGGGAGGTGTGACTATAGCTTGCTGGCATAGTGGTTGGAGGACACTTCCAGTTAACACCCCACCCCTTCCTCCAGCTCTTACGTTCTTTCCTCCATCCTCTTCTGCAAAAGTTACTGAGCCTTGGAGGGGGTGATAGGTGTGGGATGATCTTCTTCCTGTTGTGGCAAGGCACTGAACTTTCAGGCAGAGACATTTCTTAATACTATCCTAACTATTTAGACTTCTTAAAAATCCCATGGTGTTCAGGTGTACTGTGTTTGTATCAGTCTTGGTCTTTTGGTTATACCACACTGAAATCGACTCAAAACACTGTCCTTTTTCTTTTTAAGAATTATTTTTTTAATTAATTAATTTTTTATACCCACTTCCCAGATGGCACCCTCCCATAGCCTCCCACCCCCCACTAGAGCCCTTATATTCTGATATCCCTGCTACTGTCTGCTGTGTTGTCGTCACCCCAGCCATTCCCCACTGCTTGCTCTGCTGGTGAATCTAGTCAGCCTATGTAGAGGTTTGTTTTAGGAGGGTCAGCTGTTCCTCATCAAGCAGCAATCAGGTGTCAATATTCCTTTGGATAAGATTGGGGTCTGCTGTTCATTTTCCCAGTTCTATGCTGCGTTACTATCTGGGAGGCCCTTTGGCAAACCTGGCCAGCAATTCAAAAGAAGGGATCTCCTGTCTGGCATTGTTACTTGTTATGTAGCCTTTAGTTATGTATATGGACTCTTAAGAAATTATATTGGCCCCTTTAATCTTTGGATATACTTTCCTTTTTGGTGTTTAAGGCCATACATTTGGTCTAGATAAACCGATTTATTTTTACTCTTAAGGTCATTTGAAGATCCTATCTTTTAACAGCCTTTTCACAGATTTCTTCTTCTTGGCACAATGGACCTATTAATTAATAGTAATATTTTGTGTGGTGTCAGTAAGTTCACTCATGTTAATTTATTGAGATTCTCATATAAGTTCTCAAGTGTCTTATTTGAAAGTCAAACCACTTATTTGTGATAATTTTTATACTATTGTCATAATACCATAGATCAATATTATATTAAAGGGTCAAAAGAAATTTTGACAAGCTTTCATTTTGAATTAAACATTTCTAAAGACTCAGTCTTTATTTTTTTTTAAGAAGAAGCCCATTCTACCTATGTATACACCCAAAAGGTAAAGTTTAAAAGAAACATTGTAGAGCTGAATCACCAAAGACCAGCTGAGCAGTGGATGAACGGATGAGCATTTAGCAGTTATTGCTTTGAATGACTCGGCACTTCAGGACACTGAGGTACATGTTAACCTTATGTGTGTCCCTGAGTAGGCAGTGCATCAGGTTATAAAAGGCAGAAAGGCGAGTATCTTCATCGTCCGATTTCAATTCTAGAAGTCCCATGAAGACAGGGTAGACAGTTTCTTCAACTCCAGGATAAACCTAATCAACAACAGAATAGAAATTATTATCTGTGTTATTAATGTCTTTATCCCTTCCTTGTGTATGTGTGTGCATTTATATGTATGTACCTGGATTGGCATATGTATGTGCATGCACATGCATTTGGAGATCAGAGATCAATATTGGGAAGAGTTAGTTCCTCATGGGCCTTCCACCTTCTTTTGATATAGGATCTCTTGCTATAAATCACCATAGATCTGCTTGCCCCATCTCTGCAGTCCTGGGATTATAAGCATTAACTAGCACATTGGTAGGGCCCAGCCCACTGTGGGTCATGCCACCCCTGGGCAGGTTGTTCTGTATAATATAAGAAAGCAGACTGAGCATGGGCCAGGGGATCAAGCAAGTAAGCACTGTTCTTCCATGGCCTGTGCTCCAGCTCCTGCCTCTAGGTTCCTGCTCTGAGTTCCTACCTTGGGCTCCCTCAGTGATGAACTTTGACCCAGGAGATATAAGCTAAATAAACCCTTTCCTCCCCAAGTTAGTATTGGTCAGAATGTTTTGTGACAGTAAATGGAGAAACAAACTAGAAAACACCTCCTGGCTTTTTTTTTTTTCTCTTTTTGAGACAGGGTCTCCCTGTAGCCTCAGCTGTCCTGGAACTCACTATGTAGACCAGGCTGGCCTTGAATTCACAGAGATCCACCTGCCTCTGCCTCCCGAGTGCTGGGATTACAGGCATGCACCGCCACACCTGGCTTCATCCTGTCTTTTTAATGTGGAGTCTAGGAATTGAAATTAAGTCATGCTTTTAAGGAATGCATTTGCAGACTCAGCCACCCACCAAGGCTGGGCTCTGCTCTGTCTAAATGATGAATGAAATATGGGGGACGATTTAGAGATGTAATAGGAGGTCAAAATAATGGATTTTCATGTATTTTGACAAAGGTACCATAGAAGCAGCACATATGTATATATACTCTCTTGTGCAGTTGATCCCAGATGAAATATGTTCTTACAGCATTAGACAGATGGAGAACCAGGAAGCTCTTACCCCACTGTGGATATGGATTTGGACACTGGATAAGCTAGTTTGAATTCCTTCATTTAAGAGACTTTCCATGTGTCCAGTACTTTCCCTCATGCACTGTTCACACATTTTAGGTTCTGGTAGGTGTCCTGATCCTTCTCTACCTGAATCTTTTTTTCACATTATGTATTATTACTCTATTTTAGACATGACAGGTGTTTTATTCATTTATGAAGGAAGTCCTGGAATAGATAAGGAGCATCAAAAGGTCTGCTGAGTTAACCAGGAGTGTTTCGCCCACTCAGGGAGGCTACTCATGAGATTAGTGTAAGAGCTACTGCCTGTCGATCTTTCCCGGCATGAGGGTCACAGTAGAGAATCTCGATAGATGGTTCGAGTTGCCATTATCCCCTTCCTGTCAATGATGTAAACAAGGTAGGTAACCTAAATCTAACTCTTCCAAATGAAGGGTTTCAAAATTCATTTATCATTATAAAAGAACACATCTTTAATGTATGTGTATTTTAAAAAGTGAAGCATAAGCTCACCCTAACGAGTAACGTCTTGATTTCCTTCAGCAGTCCAGCGTTCTTCTCCTCCAGCTTTTTGGCTCTTGCCAGCATATCTTCAGAAGCGCCATCAAGGGCTGTCACTGCGTTCACCAGGCCTTCCAGAGGATGGAACCAGGCCCGTGAAATACTAATCATCATTTTCAGAAGGTTTTTGCCCTACGAAATATAATCAAACATATTAAAACAGTGAGATGCACCAAAGTTTCATACATGTAGGTGAACTGCAGTTACCATGTATTATTAAGAAGTGTATGTACAACACTTTTGTTACATGATTCAAACTATAGTAATGTAAAATTAAAGCCATTGGCCTACAGTTTGCCAAAATAAAACTGACTTGATCTTAACATTTTCCCAATGAGAGATCAAACTGATCATAATTTATTTTCTCTCTAAATTCTGCCATCTGTACGACCAGTGAAGTCTTTTGATTGCTTTTCTTGTCCATGAGAAACCAAGATTCAAATAAATACATATCAATATTGCCAAACCGTTTTCACACTAACAAATCAGACTCCTAATAGTCTCACTTGTGATTTTACGTCACTTTATGATATTAAACAAAGATACAGTGAAGAAAAGATGGCATTCAAAATTGTGCTTTTCTGGGTCAACATGACCACGTCTGCCTTGCTTCTAGCAGAGTGGACCATTCGCTGGCATATGCAGGTGAGGAACGGCAGCACAGTGTTGCTTTTAATAACAGTATCAGTGGGAATTACAGTGAACCTGGACAGAATCATGCACAAAAATCATTTCTGACTTAACATACGGCTGTCATGTCTTCTAGCTACTTCAGTGGTAATGAAAATTAAGATTAGAAAGGAATCCATTGAGCATTGTAAAGGAACTGTGTAAAATATATTAAGGAAAGGAGCTGATCAAAGACAGTGGAAATATGTAGGTTGTTATGAGCATTGTAGCATCATGATAGCAGGCACCAGACCCATGCAAACTCTTGTCAAATAATGAGCACAGAACTTGTGAAATGGATAGCAAGCTCCAACCTTGGCTGAGGAACTGTTGTCAGCTGATCACTGCTGGGTGAGGGAGAGTTGGTCTTTAAGTGAATGACTTTACACAGGCTGAACAGGCTCCAGTGGATGACTAGATAGGCCATAACATATATGACAGAGTGCATGAAATCTTGTGGGCAGGCTATGGGGGTGTGCAGATGGGGGAGGAGGTGTCTAAATATGAATAAAATGTTTTGTATGAAATCCACAAAAAATCAATAAAAATATACATTGTAAAAAAAATTAAAGAAGCAGGGTTTCTTACAGCTTTTAAAAAGAGTGAGATCTTGAGTTGAATGATACTGAGATTCACCTTCTAACTCAGCATGTAAGTGTTACAAATTCTGCATAACCATTTGGAACTTTAATTCATGATGTTTCTAATGCTACCTTGTGTTATGAACTTTTCTCAGGATTAAATGCATTAATGCTAGAAGAATGTGTCAACTCTGAGCACGTTGTCTCTGTTCCTCCCCTTCTTCCTACATTTTCTATTCTTATAATCACAATTTTTGTTAATGAGGATAACTGTTATATAGGTTATTTGTGCTGGTAATAATCTTATCAAGAAAGAACAGATTTTATGTGTGATATATGTACACATATGAAATTTAGTTTAAATCATACTAAGATTGTTATAATAAGAAATCACAGTGGAAAGATTATAACAATTATACATTAGAGTTGGTAAGAAATGTAGACTTCTGCACAGCAGAAATCAGTCTGAGGAGTACAATACAGTACTCAGAGGCCCCTCTTGTTCAGCCGGTCTTTGGTTAAAAATGTAGGACAAGACAGAGCTGTCAGAGAGGAAGGAACATGTAAAAGACCAAGCAGAGCAGGACCAGGAGAGACTTGACGCTCAAACAGAGATGGCACAGAGGTCACTAAGTACTGTGCTGCCAGCAAACGAGCTTTGGGGATACTCATGAATACATCTGCATTTGCATTTCTTACAAATGCGTGTGTGTGTGTGTGTGTGTGTGTGTGTGTGTGCGTTGTTTGTGTGTGTATTTAGAGGCAAATGTTTAATTCAGTTCTAAATAAGTATAATTCCACAGGCCGGGCACTTATGAAAGGTCCTCTGCATGAGCAATTTACGAAACTGCTCCCATCGTAGCCGGCACGTGTTTGAACTTATGGCTTACAGCTGCACTGTGAATGCTCCTCTTTGCACACTCTTCCACCATTTTACTGGGGACGTTATAACCCTGCCTATAACAGACCTGTACGACGGAAGTGCAGCAAAGTTATAAGCTGCTTCAAATTTTTGTGAAAACTAGGAAGGAAGGCTTACATGTGTCTTCTCGACTTCCTCATTGGTTTTGGGAGCGGAGACGGAATCTGTGTGACAGGTGGTGGCATTCGTGGTTTCGTATCCCCGACCTTTGGCAAATTTTTCACTCTAGAAATAAAAATTTCCATTTGTTGGCGTTTTAGAATTAAATAAATGCAATTATGACCAGAATGCTAATGTGTTTGATAGATGTTCAATTTTTAACAAATAAACACTACACAAAAATTGAAATCGAGGAGCTAAGAAAATGCCGCCTGCCTACGTTTTCTTCCTAGAGATGCAATCTCATTTATAAAAAGTATAACTTTCTAAACTCACAGCCTCTTTCACTCTTTACAGTCACTTTGCTATTTTGCCCTTCTTAAAGTTAGTATCAAGAAAAAAAGACAGGGGCTGGAAAAGTGGACTCTGTACTTAAGAGCACTGGCTGCTCTTATGGAAAGCCAGGGTTTGGCTCCCAGCACCTTCATGATGACTGCAACCATCTGTAACTCCAGTTCTCAGGGATCTGACAGCCTCTTCTGGCCTCTGTGGGCATCACATGACATGGGTACACTTACAAACATGCAGGCAAAACTCTCCTACACATTAATAAAAATAAGAAAATAATAAGTAAAGTATTTAAGAAAGATCAATCAACCCCCCAGACTCTGAAACACTAAGGGTTTTAAGTGTATTTTTTTTCTAGGATTTAGGCTAAGTGCCATAGTGTGGTATATGTATACATATTTATGAGTTTCTTGGGTTTTTTTGTCTAAACTTATATGTTTCTTTTAACTAGACATTTATAAATAATATAGTTTTTCAATTATTATTGTGTATGTATGGATCATACAAAGTTCATGATAAATTTTGCATATGATATCTTTGATGGTATCAAAATTAATCATAAAATTCTGAACCTATTTTTAAGAGATTATTTAGCAGTGAATGAATAATGCAAAAATATTATGTGTTTATTAATAAATTACAGTCTGTATTTTCTTAATGTATTTATTATTTAAATAAATACCACTTAATTCTAATAATAAGTGAATTTGTAAGAGTTTAATGGATTCTTAGGAATTCTAGGAAGTTGACTGATTGCCAGTTGAGAAGAAGGAATGAACACTAATGATAGAAAGGACAATAGAAACAAATTTATTATAAATCTAGAGACAGATTCTCAGGATTACCAAATTTTGCACTGTAGTCTTATTTAGTTTTGTATTGTCTGACCTCCAACAGATCACACCTATCACTGAGGAGGAGTGAACATCTCTCCCCGTCTAGCCTTCATTGAGGAGTGAACATATCTCCCCGTCTAGCCTTCATTGAGGAGGAGTGAACATCTCTCCCTGTCCAGCCTTCCAATTGTATTACAAACTCCTTAGTGCAAATCTTTAAAAAATGATTCATAGCTTTTGGGAGTTTCTGAGAAGTTATCATTTGTTTTTGTTTTTCTCTCCTTACGTTGTTCGAGATTAGTTTAGCTGTATTTTATCCACACAGTTCGCTACAATACAGCTGTCCTACACTGGATATCTGCACAGTACTATATGAAGACTATTCAGAGAATTGGTGCTCTACATGCAAGGTCAGGAAATCAGAATTCTTTTCTTGCCATACTTTTTGAAGTTAATGAAATAAGTAATAGTTGCAAACAAGTTATTTTTTTTGAAACAAAGGTAATATTATCGAAAAAATTCTTTAAAATCCCAATCTTTATAAATCTTTGAAATTTCATGAAATTTTCCATTCTTCCTGTTTCAGGTTTATTTAATTCTTTTTTTAATCCTATGAAGGCATATTATTTGAAATCTGGATCACAGTGCTTTCTAGTTTAATCTGTGCAGTTCTCTGAAGATGCCTTTAGAGAAGGAACCAGAAGTAAGGTGCTTACAAACTCATCCGATATTTGTGTGGCGAGATCATAGTTGTACTGAGACATGAAAACCGTGCGGTCAAACAGCTCTTCTGTGGACAGCTGGCAGTCTTCCTCCTCCTCCTCCTCAGCACAGGTCGGTGTGGGGAACACGCTCTTCCACAGGAGCAGGTTTAATAGCAGCAGCAGAATTGTACCTGCTGTAAAGAGAGACACAGTGAGACATTCTATTTATTCCGGATCACAAGAATTATCCTGTCTAAGGAAATATTGAGCAACCCAAGTACCATTTGCTGCATCGTTGGTTATGTACAGTTGGAGTAGTAAATACATTTTTATTATGGAGAAATTTTAGGGCAATAATTATAGTTTCCCAACACTTTGAAAAGTTGGCTTGTTGTACAAGTGCTCCTCAACTCTGAAAACATTTGCATCTTAAAATCAGGAAACACCATCTTTTCTGTTATTCACATATTTTCATAGTTTTTACATTTATACTTATTCTACTTTATCAGTTTTTCCAGAAATTTTCAGTTTTAAACTCAATAACCGTTATTAGCAAGTTGGACAGTTCAGTTATCCTGTTCACTTCATCATTATGCCTGAGATCAAATACATGATTGTTGGATAACTTGAGGAATACTAATGAAATTCTACTATAAAAGTGATGTCACAGCCAGAAATTTCCAACTCACAATGATAATCTGGGGAATCTGTCATTTTACTAAAACTTTTGATTGTGTTTTCCTCTAAATTTGAGCTATGCAGTAACCCTGTGATTAAACTGGTCCTCTGTAATCGTCATTGGACTATGCTGATCAAAAAGAGGGCTTGTATGAATGGTTTCCAACAACATTTTATTGACAGTTGAGTGAGGCAGGATCCCAACAACAGGAGAGTGACAGCTCATCTTGTCACACAGTGGACACGTGTGTGCTCTCACTGTGCATCTGTGGGGCAGGTGACTGTTCCACATTCCCAAGGCTCAAGGTTAGCAGACTGTTCCCACTACTAACAAGGAACACCACTTTGCCCCTCATTAGATCATAGCAGAAATACTAGGAGACTTCGCTTTGTCTGTTTTTCCTGCTCTGTGAAACATACGTCTTTAAAATATTTGACTATGACCAGTGTGGTTTTCTTCATCAGTTTGCTGGATTCAGCAGATAGCCAGAGCAACCTCTAAGCATGTCAACAGTTATACTCTCTAGAGGACAGAAACCACAGGTAAGTGGCACTACTATACCCAAAGACTTTCTAAAACAAAAGTGTTTCAAAGGTACCAAGTTCACACAAACTTTCACAAATACAGCATACATATATCTAACACACAATCAGGTAAATGCTAACAAATTATAACAGGAAAGATGACTTAGTTCCCATACACTAATCCTGAAACATAACAAAAATTATGTAGTATGCAATGTAATTAAGCACACTTTAATTTTTCTGCAAGATTAAACTACTAAATCATTAACATCACAAAAATTCATTGTCCTAAATCATGGCACTTTTAAGATTTTATTTCATGCAATATGTTTGTGTCTTGGGGAGCAGATTTACAGTGTAAGATGAGGTAAAATAGAAAATGATTTTGCCTTCTAGAAAATAAATTTTATGATTGTTCCTAATTCATTTTTCCATGCAAATATTACCTACAGTGAACAGTGATTAGTAAGGCTGAGCTTTCTTTTCTTTTGACCATGCCGTTTGGCATATGCCAAAGTTGTGAAGACACAAACCTGGTATCATTATCTATGTTAGGCTTCAGAGCTGAACATGTACTCAGGTTGACTCAAATGAGTAGAGACATAAGGCTGGGCGATCAAAGACTTTAGCTTCTTCCTTCTGGAGCCAAGACAATTGGACCACAGGATCTCATGTTCACAAAGAAATCCCATTGTTCAATTTTAGCAACTTGGCCCTTCTTCCGGTGCATGTCCCGTGCATTGGAACATGTTTAAAACATGTAGTCATTATTATGATGCCAGTAACACTGTCCCTTTTTCTCCCTCGTGCCAATTAACATGAGAAAAATACCACTGGATATTGCCATGTATCTCAGCAGAAGGATTCCCTTTCAGAAACACTGTCAAGATCACTGTGCAACTGCACTATAGAACGTTCTTCCTGGATCTCTGTTTCTTTATGCCTCACCATGTAGCATGAACAAATGTCAGTTTCCCCCAGATAAGACACTGAAGACAACAAAACAGTGTACTATCCAAAACTACCTTGTTAAACACAATATATTGATTAATCTGACTAGAGGAACATGGATGAGGCCTACTTACAGGAACAGGCTTGAGTCAAAGACATCTCTGAGAAGTTTCACCAAAGTTTGGTCAGTAGCTCAGAATAGCTGCTTCACCTGAGTTCAGCCTTCAGTCGGCATTTACTTCTCATACATTTATATATGTCAGGAAGTCCCCACAGCCATGCAGAGCTGCAGGACACAAGGAATGACTGTAGCCCATGTGAGCTTGCAATGACGCTTTCCCTTCAGGGAGCATTAAAGTGTCAGATCACGAACTACCACTATACACACTGTTTGGCTGATGGCCATGATAGCCCTAGAGTTGAAGGTACTTTGTAAATCATCAAAGACATCTCTATTCCCTGATGATTCTCAGTCAAGTCACACAAGAGAAATAGACTTATTTAGATGCTTTGCCTTAGTTCAGGCTTTTTTCTTCTCTCTTTCATGTCTTCTACAGTGTTCCTAATACAGATTCTTCCCTGATCACTGGGCCATGGTAATACGACAACAGTCAATTCTTCTCACAAACTGACCGGAACATTAGTCTCTGTCGGAGCCATCAAACACTGTAAAATGCTTCTCTCCACAAAACAGGTGACACTTCTAACAATCTGTAAACTTAATCACAAATTAAAAATTATAAAGACAGTTTGACAGGTGCATCATATCAATTTAACAAAAAACTGATTATAGCTTCTTAGTATGGTGTATAACCTTGTAAAACACAAGTTTTCACTCTGTCTTACAATGTAGCACATTTCCTCCTGAAGGGTTAGCCTTAAATCAAATCAGATAGTTGGTGGTTGCAATCATGTTTCTTTAGTCAGTGTTTCACAAGTGGATAGGTTTGCTGATGACTTTATCAAGTCACTGTGTAGTACCTTTGGTGACAATTCTCCTGAAAGAGCCAACACAGTACCCTTTAGCACCATGAAAGACATTCAGCATAGTGGGGGCTTTTAGACTATTCAGTACCTGAGGTTTTCATGTCATGAAGTCAAACATGGCATTTAGTCAGCAATAGGGTCTAGGCATTTGTTTCTGGTGTGCAAAAAGCAGCGGTTGCAATAACATGTAGGTATTATGGGCCTCATGGGCCTCATTTTCCGCAAACTGCTGTGGGGAAAACCAAACCTAGACACCAGGAATTTATTCAATAACCTTGTAACTGCCGGCCATGGCTTTTCCCATGTATGCTGGGCACCTCTTCACACTTTCTTAACACTTATTTATACTGTTCTAGATTATTTTTCCATTTCAATATGTCATGCACGTGCCAGCCAGCATTGTGTCATGAAAAGTTTACAGATGGTGGCCAGATTGATAAGAGTGTATATTGTCTTTGGGATTCAGAATCTGAGAGGATGGCAATCATAGTAGTAACAGTAGTAGTAGTAGTAGTAGTAGTAATAGTAGCAGTAGTAATAGTAGTAGTAATAGTAATAGTAGTAATAGTAGTAGTAATAATAATAATAATAATAAACACCATCTAATACAGTGTGAAAAGGCCCTAAATACATATCAACTCTTTCCTTCAAAGAGCATGTTGCTGGATGTGTATTAATGGGAAACACTACCCTATTGAGTCATCTATGGTCTACTATCTCTCTGCCTGAGCCTGTTTCCCGATTTACCAAGGGGTTGACAATCTGATGGCTGGAATCAGTTCATGCAGTACTTGACCCAGTAAGGACATAAGAAGGATCGGGCCCCATTCTGTGATGCTACATTTTCCCCCAGTTGACGTAGGGGTTCAGATTACGGATAAGTGCAGTGACTACAGGCTGTTTATTGATCAAAGCTGTGTCCTAATACACTCATGGATAAATGAACATGTTCCAACCCATTATGCTCCTATTTTCCACAACAGTACAGGACTGTCAAAAGATGGGCCCTCAAGCAAAATTCTCCAAATGCAGCGTGAAGCATATTTCCCTAGAGCTCACTGTCCTTCAGCGTAATTACTTCAAGCAAGAGAAGTTCCTAGTCCACTCTGAGACAGGGATACCTTCCCCACTTTAGGATGAGTTTGATATGAGATAAATATTGCGTCATTTACCCTTGACCCCCTTCATCAGCCTTTTCCTTCTCTCAGACCATCTTGAAAGCTTTAGTATTCAGATGAGTCAAAGGTTCTCCCACTGCATCCCACATTCTGTGGTAAAGCTCTGCTGAGACAGGAGACACTCTGAACATAGACAATATGCCTCATCCTTTGACTGAACTCACTGTGTAGTCCAGGCTGGCCTCGAACTCACAAAGATCCGCCTGCCTCTGCCTCC